GCAATTCCTGTTCTGCTCTTTATTTGTGGCGCTTGGCTTCCCAGTTTCAGTTCTCTATTGCTTGCTCTCTTTGGGTCCTGTTTTATGGTTGCTTTTGGTTTTTGCTCCTCTTACATAGCAGAGACAGAATAACCCAGGATACAAAAGAGGAGCAGGGAGAAAAAAGTTTTCCGAGTGAGAGTGTGTTTCTTGTGAAAGGGAAGCTTTAGCAAAGCAGTGCTGGCCACTTGCTGGGTGCCAGAGGTCAGCAGTGCCTCCAAGATGCCCATCTCTTCTTCCAGGGGGCCCAGGAGATGTGATGTGCCCTGGCCTATGACCATGAATGGATCAAACAGGGGTGTGAGTTTGCATTGCCTGTGACCTTACCAAGCACAAGACAGATGTCCTCTGCCACCTCTATCTTCCCGCTGCTACTCTTGCTCTATGAAATGCAGCTGTGAGCTCTGCTGCCACTCATGGCACAAGAAGACAGCTTCTGCTCCAGATGGGGTTGATAAAATGAAGCAAAGGGCATAATTAGCGATTGTGTTTGGCATTTGAACTTTTCACGGCCGGACCGGTGACTTGAAAACTCCTTGGACTACAGCCCGAGCACTATCATTTTCATCAAATTGATGGTTAAATCCAGGGTGTGAGCCTAGCACTGGGCAGGGGGGGGTGGGGGGACAGGGACACACTGCTGTTAGTAGCCACCAGCTGCAGACAGCTGTGCCGAAGCCCAGCCGCACGCACAGCGGGGCTCTCGGCTGAAATAAAGGCTGCCATCTCCTGGCTACACAATAGCAGTATTTTAGCACCTGGCAAACAAAAATGTGGCAGAAGCTCCACACTTCCCATTTGCAGAAAGGTCTCTCCGTGGGTATTTCTGTGCTGGTGCTTACTGTTCCTGTCGGGTGCCCAAAATTTCAAGCTCTGGAATGGAAAGACACTAAAGGAAAGGGATGCAAGTCCCCAGCTTCAAGCCCCGGTTCTCACTCATCTCCAAGCTCTGATAGGCCACACTGGAAGAAACAAAGGCAGGCACCATCCCTGAAGCCTCTGCTTCCTGGCATTAGCAGGTCCCTGGCAGAAATCAGGGCAGTGACATGGCTGTGGCACCACCACCCTGCCGGCCCTACAAGACTGCCTCTGAAGGGCAGCTGAAGTCTTTTCTGCTGCTTGGCAGCATGAAGGAGCCGGGAGAAAAGTGTGAGCACAGACCCTAAATGTGCCTGAATGCCCTCTCCTCCAAGAAGGGGGTTTCTTTGGGGGCAGTTCGCTTTATAGATGTAGATAGAGGTGTTGACTTAAATATGCAGCCTCTGAAAAATCCCTCCGGCCAAGCTCCAGCTCATAAAGAAATGATTGAGAAATAACATAGTTTCTAATTTAGTTTAATATTCTCATTCCACTTTGGGCTGAATTGGCAAGTGGAGGCTGGAGTAACATCTCCCCTTGATTTTGATTAAGTGCAAGCATGCATTTCAATTGTTTAAGATAATGACTGCACAGCCCAATGGGACATCTCACTGCCTCAGACCTGGAATAGAAGTTTCCACATCTGAAATTATAATGTAATTTCTGCTAAATGCAACACTGCGGTGCAAAGTGTTATCTTACAACTTGGAGCATATGCAAATCGGGAGTGAACAGCCTGAGAGCTGACAAGGATGCCTCGGTGCATTATTAATACACTTCCTTTTTCCCCTCCTTCCCACCTAAGCATTAAAGCATGTTCGAGTACGGTGCTGAGTCCCATCAGACAGCAGTGCAGGAGGGGACCAAGCCATTTGACACATGCAATCAGCCAAAGGCTGGTGTTTCTGCTGGATACCGCTTCCTTGAGCGCTTCTTCAACGAGTCTCCGCTGCTGCAGGGACACTGAACTCAGCGAGATGCCCCTCAAAGTTACAGCTGCCATTCAATGACTTTATGCTCTGGTCTTTATTTGCTCAGACCGTTTCTGCTGCAGGTCAGACAAGCAGATCACTTTGATTTGGATGAGGCTTTTTTTCTCCCCTCAAAGCTGTGGGGGTCTGGGGAGGGAGTCTACAGAACCTATACATGCCAGAGTAAATGGAGCTGGAGGGATATTGATTATTTTGTTAGGGCTCTTCCACTAAGGAGGGATTGTAAAAATTGCTAACAGAAAATTCCCTGTGCGCATAGCAAAACCCCACCCTGGGTGAAAGCTAATAACCCTTTACTTCTAAATTAGAAAAGGTATATCTCACATTCTGTTAAAACACAGAGGGAGACTGTCATTGACTTACAATGGATGTTAAAAACGCAAAACAACTTTGTTTGTCTCTTTCAGCAAGGCCAGGAGGAACAGAAAACTGTGATGAACCAGCATGGCACTAAGTAAAGACCCAGTGGACAAGACTCTTAGCGTGTATTTCACAGTTTATCACAGATTTTTAAAATTCATTTTTGAGCTTTTTCTAGCCTAGCTTCAGAATAGCTTATTTTTACTGACTACAAATCATGTGAACTAAGATCAAGTCACAAACTCCCTTAATCAGGTATATGCTTTTTACATCTTAACTTGGCACTCAGCTGCTAGCTGGAGGCTTTTCTAGCAAACACCACTAATACTCTAACTTTCTAGGATATCATGCCTTTGTTTTTCTTTCCAACAACCAACAAAAGCATTGTATAGCCAGCCTGCATAAAGGGCAGCTACACATGCAGCTGCCTATTGACACGCAATTTACTACCTCACATCATGGTAGATTCACAGGGCCTGCATCCCTGTTTGCATTTCTCCAAAGCCAAATACTCCAAGGAAGCATTTAAGTACCTAACTGCCATCAGCAGTTGGTGGGAGGTAGAAGCTCCCTAGTTCAGTATCCAACGAGCATCTGTGCCACCTGGGCAGGGCTGGTTTAGGACATGTGGCCTCTAGAAGAGCTGCCACCTTTTGAAGCAGCAGCTGGAAGCTGGACAAGGTGCCCTCTGACATCTGAAAGGCACAAGGCTACTGCATTTTGGCTCCTGAATTTCTCTCCAAGAGGGTAAATATGTGCTCTTTGAAAACATCTAATCTTATACTTAATGCCTTTGCAGCCCAAGTGAAACATGGGCATCAGGTATAAAATCTCTTCTCCTCACCTGAGTTCATCTCATGTATTTGAAGCACAGAACTGAGATACCGAAGTTAGAAACTCCATCAATTTAGGGATCCTCCTACACAGAGAGTGAGAAAGAAGGTGTCCATAGGACTCCTCCAGTCCTGCATGGGCTTAACCACCAGGTGAGGAGCCCCTCTCTCCTAGCTCACCACACAGAGGACCAGACAGACGAGAACTGTGTCTCAGCAGCCCCGTTGATGGAAGCACCTCAAACGAGGTGGCAAAAACTTAGGCCTTAATGCATTGGTCTGAATTAAACAGAAAGCCTCCCCTTGTTTCTAGCAGATACCAAACTGTATCTTGGTTCTGTACAAGCCAAGGCCAGTTTTGCCTTTCATTCTTGGATGCTTTTTTTCTGAGGCAACTCTCCAGACCCAAGGGGAATTTATCCTGCCTTGAGTGAGAAAGCAAAACTTTTTAGGATTTGCTTTAGATAAGTAGATTGGTATAACTGGGGTTGGAACTCAATGATCTTTGAGGTCCCTTCCAACATGAACCATTCTATGATCATTATACAAGGTGAGAGGAAAAAATGATCCTCTGTTCCCATACTAGAAGTATGTTTGGTATGATTTAGCCAAATCATTTGCAAACACATCCTGTCCTCTCCTAAACAACGAGTGGGATTTCTAATTGGTTTATCAGGAAATCATATTAGTATCTTCTATACATGTTATACAAAATGTATTTCTCCTGTATTAATCTAAGTTGCTTTTCCATACACTGGACTGTGGACATAACAAAATGCCTCCTGGCTGACTTAGTGTCTCCGACATGCACACTGAAAGCTTTTTAAATTAATGAATAATATTTCTACTACTACTACCATTTCAGTACCTCCTCTGGGACGCCACAGGATATGTCTGAACAAAGGGTTAAAGAGGTAGTTCAAATCTGACCCAAGGCAGCAATGTTTCAGAGTCACAACCATTTGTGAGCTGCTTTGAGGGTCTGTGAAATGCATTGCTGGTGCTGATACGTGTCTTGGGGGATGGATGCTTTATAGAGCATGCAAAGGATTAGTTGAGGATATTTGCTTTCATGGTATTTATGCTCCTTTATAACTTGTAAGTAATACTGAAAGTTAAGCCTATACAAAGAGCACTGCATGCTTTTGATGTGTTTTTTACAAGAATGGTTACTCTTTTTCTAGTATTGATAGACTACATTTTTGTGAAACACAGATCCCTTCTCAAGGCTGAGTTTGTTCTTCAGTTACATCATCTCTCTAGCACTGACACTGAGCTGCTGGATTAAATTAAGCCAGTGATTTTTGTCTCTCTCTCTCCTTCCAGTTTGGTTTTTGTTTTTTTTTTTTTGTTTGTTTGTTTGTTTTTGTTTGGTTGGTTGGGGTTTTTTTGTGTTTACACCACACACTATTTGGTACAAAGCCTGTTTCTTCCCACTGGATGATCTTTGAGGTCCCTTCCAACCCTAACCACTCTATGATTCTATTCTATGATTCTATGTTCAGTTACCATTAACTTTCATGAGCAGCTATAAAACGTGTTCTGGTAAACAGGGTGCTGTGAGAGAGCTGTGTTCATGATGGGGACTACCATGAACACGTGCAAGTACACCTTCAGCAATAAAAACTAATCCTTAAGTGCAAGACAGTTGGTCATCTATATGTTAGGAAGAATTATTACCAAATGTGGTTTGATTTTTTTGGTGTTTGTTTTTTTGACAGGGTTGGGGGTTTTGGGGGGTGTTTGTTTGGGTTTTTTTATCCTCTCTTTCTTTACAGAGTTTTCTTTACTGAGAAAAGATGACAATATCTCACTGGTTTCAGTGTGAAGTGAAAAATGTTGTGTTACTAAGTAATACTCACCATCACAACCCAGTCAAAAGGAGCTTCCACAAAAGAAAAGCCTCAAACAGTAAATGTGACATGTGACATGACAATATTTATTGATTCTAATTAAGGTTAAAAAAAGTTCACAGCTGTCAGATAAAAATATCTGCAGAGCCTAGTGAAAAGGGAACTTAAGAAGGAAACCAAGGGAGACAGTCACCACAGAGGCACTTGAGAAAATGCTACAGTTATAAAAGGCACAAATTCATCACACACACAGCATATATATTCCTGCAAAGTGAAGTCACTCTTTTTTTTTCCAAAACACAGAGGCAGGCACCACTGAACACTGACCTGTACATGACCACAGAGAACACGCTATAAGCGGCAGTCTATGACAATGCCTAAACGACTTGACTGGAGAGATACTTTGAAAGCAAGAGTGCTTTGGCCATCTTGGTTTTGTCTCTATTGAAGAACAGATTGCAGGATCAAGGTGATCTTAAGGTGGTAGAGATGGGAGTGGGAATGTTAGTCCATTTAAATATAGGTCAAGTTTATCTGGGAGCATTTGTAATCTGTGATTTTAAGTGGGTTTGCTTCTTGCCTGAGAGCAGTGGCAGATCTGTCATCATTTAATACTGGCTCCCTTTTGCCTCCAAGTACTTTTGGAGGAAATACAATTCCTTCTTCCTCAAAAATATTTTTCTTTCATGTCTCAAAAAAAACCCCAAACCCCCGCTTAAAATTTCTGCACTTCTGTAAAGTCTATCTCAGTGAAACAATAGTCCCACTGAGGTCACAGGAAAGTTATTTTAATACAAGTCCCTAACTTCTCCAGTCCTTGGGTTCCAGTGATGCATAATGCTCAGACATATTCTTAACTGCCATTAATGTCTTTGTTGTACTGACAGCAGATGTGCTATTTGGAATCAAGATCTGGATTGAGAAAAAAAATAATGTACTAGTTAAAGGAAAGACATGGTCTGCCTCAGATTGCTCACTTCATTGCTATTGTTGAGTAGTTTATACAATTAGCTTTCAAGTACTTTGGTTAACACAAATTTTCATGCCATGACCCAACATCCTTTGCAATATACAGTTGCTATCAGAACAGTGTACAAGCAAGAAAACCTCTTTTTTTTTTTTTTTGCAAACTCTTAAGAGCCTTACAAAATATGCATGATAACACAAATCAGTTTGTAAGAGACAAATACAATTATTTCCACGGTTGTTCCTATAATACATGTTAAGAAGCTGGTAAACTGCTGGAACTTCCATGGTATCAGATTTCTCATCAAACATGTTAATAAATTAAGCACGACTGGTTACCCACTAAACCAGACTTCATTCCTGTCTTTGAAGGGCTAGCACGAAGGAAATTTAAAAATGTGAGCCGGTACTAACAGTTCCCTTTACCCATGGGGAAACCACTTGATTCTCTGCCTACATTTGTCAATTTTCTCATCACACTGGCATCCACATACACAAAGTGCCGCATATTCCTTTTAGGTGGAAGCTGTCGAGAAACCAGCAGCAAATCCTTCTTTTTATTCCCGTTGTGGTGATAAGCTCCACAGCATAATCGTAGCACGACACAGCTGTAAAGACAAAGAGAGCATTCCTAATGCTTTGGCAGTCTGGAGGGAAGAAGACAGAGACTTTCCAGTGCTAATACACATGTTGCAATTCAAACCTTGCAGTTCAACCAGAGTTGGCTAGGAATTTCAGGGGACCCAACTTTAATTAGAGATTTTAAGTCACACCTACTTTTAGTTTTGGCAGAATAACATGAGAAATGCTTTGTGGTTTTTTCTTCCATTTTTGTTTATCTTTCAAACTAAGAATAAGAAAGATTTATAACTACATACACTTCTGTGTTAAATTGACCAATCTCATAAAAAGCTTTGCTTACGATTCAGTTCAGTTCTAACTACACCTAGCTTCTGTTTTTCCTTCCTAATTTTTTGCCCCTGGTACCCAACACTTTCTTGTTAGTCTGGGAAAAACCTCTGCCAGATTCAGGAGCAAAGAAGAGAGAGATGCATTTTGGACGTGAATGAAACAAATTTATCCTTATTAGTCTCATGGATCTGCTCCCCTTTAGAGACCTGCAGAATATTTCTAGGGCAGAAGCAGGACTTGAATTCCAAACAATTCTGGCAGAGAAAACATCTGCAAATGCAGCAGTTCTTTATATATTAAGTATGTATTCACTGTCTAGCACTTACAAATATTGGGCCATGACTTCAAAAATGTCTTCCCAGATTTAGGTTGCTATGTTTATTTCTGGCTTGAGAATTGTCTCAGTTGCAAAAGCTCTGAATTTACACAGTTCCCATTCAGCTTTTGGTTCTTAAGTCATTTAGCAAATAAATCACCCAGAGAGAAAGCTACATAGAAGCACTCTGTGGTAGGCAAATGTCCCAGCCAATTAGTGCTCTATGTGATACAATGAGAAAGGCCATATGTACACTGCTGTACTGTTCTTCTGACTTAAAGATCTTTATGTCTGTAAAGTTCCCCTATCCATTTTAAGAGGTTATTATGAGGATATTCATTTGTGATAAAATCCAAGCTGCTGCTACAGGATTTTTAACTGGCACATCAAGTTAAAAAGAATGAAACCTAAGGGCCAGAAACTTACGCACTGCTGACAAATATTACAGCTTTGTAAGTAGTTCCATGGGACTATTTGGAGAATGAAGCACTACTCTGCACAAGCAAGATCAGATGCTAGCCCAAAAAGTGTGCTTGAGAGTGGTGATACAGTTCTTCTACCGTCTGCTCACACCAGTTGCTGAATATATCCTTATTACATTTTCCTCCATGGCTTTTTACTGCAATGTAATTTTTTTCACATATAAATCATCACAGGCTGAAGTGCAGCAAAGGGGCTTAGAAAAATTCCAGACATACAACTTTTCTCAAGCTTCATGTGCACCAAATCCTGTTCTCAGCTGTACCTGTGACTTTATGTTTTCTGTCAGGGAGATGTAAAACAGGAGAAATACCTAGAACAAGGTACCGTGATATTGACAGGATGCCACCTAAGGTTTTCGTGGGTGGGGCTTTTTTTTGTTTCTTCTTTGTTTTGTTTTGGTTTTTGGTTTTTTGGGGGTTTTTTTGAGGCAAAGCACTTGCATGTGACTATCCTATCCATAGTTCCCTTGGATCTCTCTCTCATTTAGCTTCTTGATTAGTTACCAAAAGTGAAGCTCTGAACCAGCTAAGCTGTGTTAAGCATGAAGCAGGTGTTGGTGGGTAGTTAGGTTTGGGGGGTTTGGGTTTGTTAGGGGTTTTTAATGTTACATCTTCCCCTACCAGCCAAGAGACAGCCTCAAGGTGTTCAAAATAGAAATTTAAGTAGAACAAAGAAAGGAAGATAAGATGAAAGAAGATGAAAGCAGGAGATAAGAAAAAAAATAATGTAAAATATTTTTTAATGGGTGGCTTTACAACTTCCTGGCACAGGCAGAAGTTATTTGTTGCTATCTTGCAGCAACTTAGGGAGCTAAAAGAGGACCTTGGAGGCAAAGAGATGTCAGACAGGGTGAAAAAGCTTTGAAAGGCTGTGTCTGTATATTAGCACAAGGTTCCCCATTCACATTTGGGTCAGACAGCATGATTGGCCATACTTCTGCACATATCAGCTACAGTCGGGAGCCCACGTTTTCTAGGCAGAGGAGATCTGATCCTGCACAGGGACAGACTCAACAGGAACACACAAGCTTTGCTGCTCTAGGTAGTGCGAACACAGCTGGGGAGTCTGAAATTTAACTACATTGCAAAGGCAGTAAAAACATTGTCCTTTAACTCACTGTAGGACAAATATGCCACTGGAAATGCTAACAACCTATGGACACAAAGATGGATCAGAGGGATGGAGCACCTCTCCTATGAAGACAGGCTGAGGGAGCTGGGATTGTTCAGCCTGGAGAAGGCTCCGGGTAGACCTTATAGCGGTCTTTCAATACCTCAAGGGTGCCTATAGAAGAGCTGGAGGACTCTTTGCCAGGAAGTGTAGTGATAGGACAAGGGGAAACAGTTTTAAATTGGGAGAAAAAAGATTCAGATTAGATCTCAGGAATAAATTTTTTACTATGAGGGCGGTGAGACACTGGAACAGGTTGCCCAGGGAAGTTGTGGATGTCCCATCCCTGGAAGTGTTCAAGGCCAGGCTGGATGGGGCCTTGAGCAACCTGGTTCTAGTGGGAGGTGTCCCTGCCCATGGCAGGGGGGTTGGAACTAGGTGATCTTTGAGGTCCCTTCCAACCCAAACCATTCTATCATTCTATGACACAGCTGCATAGTTCAGATAGATAAATGTAGACCCCCTACTTCAAAAGTTTGCTTGACTTGTCCCTTAGGTGCTGCCTTGGCTCTGGACATCTGGGTGAAAAACAAAAACACTGAAAAGATCCTCACCAGCAATTCACGTGAGCTAGTTAATTATTCTTGGATTTCTTTTCTCAGTTTACCACACAGGAAGGCTGAAACCTTTTGTTTACAACTAGAGATGGAAGTGCCTGCGAAGACTTGGAGTTCAGGGTCTGGTTCAGGTATAAGTGTAAAAACAACTTGAAATCTCATCAGAACAGGCTTCATAGATGCCTTCATTTTGTCACTTCTGTTACGAGACCTGGATAAAAACCTCAAGGTGATAATGTTTGGCAAGGTATCCTAGAAATTCAACAACAAAAAAACTACTGGAGCACACCTGGATTCAAGGTGTTCTTTTTCAATAATGCTCTTTCCTTTATCCCTCCCCTCCAGCCTCATCTCTCTCCTGTTTTCTCCTCTTCCCCAGTTCTGATCTGATTTTGGAGAAGGGAAGTACATGCCAAAAAAAAAAACTCTGAAAAAAAGAAAAACACTCAAGTGTGAGGATTTGCTTTGGCACCTTTTTCAGTTTCGAACCAGAAGTCCCTTTTTGTAGGCAAATAATCCTGCGGCAGCCACAGACGTGACGAAAGTAGAAAATCCAATCAGCTTTAGCAGTCCCGGCACAGACGGCAAGTTCCTCTCCCAGAAGGTTGTAGTGATGGGCAAAGCTGGAACATCCTGCGGAGAGAACATCCATTAACAACATAACACCTCCACTGTGAAAGGCAGGATATAAATCAAGATATTCTCGCAGCAGATATAAAGTTGGGTTGAAGCAGTTCACTTTGTAAAAAAGTACCGTGTATTAAAGTTTTCTGTTCAGTTAAAGGGAAGAGGAAGAGACAGAAGGAAAGGATTCATAGCCTCGTTAAAAAGTGCAATTCTTTACAATCCTGTGTTACAGAATTGTCAGATGGGTGCCTTTGCTGAATTTCTATCATATTCCTGTTTAGGGGGGGGCAGTTTTGCTGAGTAAGGGAAAGTTTACTGTGGCTTTGGTTTAATAAATAAAAACAGCCAAAAAAATTTTATCTCATCAGTAAAACAGATAAAAAAATAAACCATTAAATCTGCAGAAAGACTTACAATTGATTCAGGTTCGGGTTTCCAAATTTCACTGTCTGGGATTTTCCTCATAGCAAACAGTATCTGAAAATAAATAACATTCTCTAGTAAGTACCATGTATTCTTTGAAAAGGAAAAAGAGCTGGCTTCAATTTTTGTTTTAAAATGGCATGATGAAGATAACAATTGAGCACATAAATCTCTGTGTATTCAAATTTGCAAATTTTACCACAAAGTTGGAACAGGAACCGAATCCTGTGAGTGATGACAGACCATCACTTTCAGCCAGAGAAAAGCAAGACTAAAAAGAAAACCTTCACAATGGAAAAGTAACCATTTAAAATATCAAATATACCAGAGATGAGTAGGATGGCAAAGATCATCTGAAGTGATAGTCATAAAACACAGCAAGATTATCTCCTTCTACAGTAAAATAAAATGGAGATGATATTAATATTTTTCCTATTCCAGGCATTTGTAGCTTTAACAAGATTTGCAGTCTTTTACGATGGGCTTTTATTCTAGACAAGATTCATGGACCTCTTCAACTTTTCAATACAGGAGTGTGAGAAACACCCTTGCACTGGATTTTAAACATATTTTCCGTTCACAAATACATGAGGAAAGGAAAACATCAAAATTTTTACCAGTCAAGCTCACTTGCCAACTTCTCTGCCGAAACCTACAGAGGTTCTGCTGTAATGTCTTTATATTAGAGAGGTCATGAAGCACTACCTCTGGAAGTTTTCAGGAAGAAATTAGGGATAACCATCACAAATGGGACAGTTTAGGGACAGTTGATCCCTGTCTTTTGGAGCAGGGCTACAGGCTAGACGAACTCTCCAGATCCCCTCCAGGCCAATTTCTGTTCTATAACTGTAGGGTTTAGCCACAAGGAAGGTTCCCTTCAGCTCATAAAACAAAGATGAAATCTCTTCTGCTGCTCCATAAACTGTAATATTCATGAAAAGATTTGAGAAATCGGCATTTTCTCAGAAGTAAAATATTTAAACTGTGGTCTAATGACTTTATGTAAGGCTATCTTGATGGTGTATCACTGCGTCAATGGAACTGTTGGAAACACTTGAGGAAGGGATTGGCTTGATCTGCAGAGCTGAAGAATTGAGCTGTTCCTAGGGAAGCTAACTGCCATGATCTCTCAGTATGATTACAAAATGCCCATTTGGGGAAAAAAAATGTCTAGGTGAGAATGTGGCATTTCTGCTAAAGAAAAAAGTATTTCATTCCTGGAAACAGAAAAGAGTTTGATGAAATACCTAGAGTCTGTCCTAAGAATTTCAAGTTTAAGTGCCAAACCTTCATCCTCTTTGAAGTCCATCCCCTTCTAGGGGATTTGCATCAAGATTTCAAAACACCTGAAGCTGTTTCGACTCCAACCAAAAGATCTTTCATTTTCCATAGGGTATTTGACAGTGCCCCCTGATTTGGGCTTGCACCTGTACCTCTCTGGCTGCTCTTTCTCCAGCCTGTACAGCTCCCTCCATGTACCCGCTCCACTCTGTGGCTGTTTCTGTGCCAGCAAAATAGATTCTGCCAACAGGCTGCCGAATAATCCTGGAGGGGGACAAACAGTAAATCATACCAGAAAAAATAACTGAAATTCTTGGGTTAATATTCAAATAAAAGCGTTTTAAATAACAGCAAGCATTTAAAGATAGTAACTTTGGGTGAGCTGAGCTGGAGGAGGATCTGAATTTCATTTCATTTCTTACAGTAAACACTCCAGTGTTCATACTTTCTAAATGTTCACACTGCTTGTAGGAGTAAAGGACAATTATTAGTCTGAGATGAGACTTACTCCATCTCACTATTTTAGCCAGCATCATAAATACCAATGCTAGGCATTACTGGCACAGTGTACCATTCTGAAGTACATGACCGTGATATCTAAAGAAACAAGCAAATAAAAAAAAAAAAAAAAAGGATTTTTTTTACTCTATTTTTGCCAGAATTTGCAATAATTGTCATTAAAATTACTTTAAATACTAAGGCCTCCATATGCTATTCACTACAACTGCTTTATTGCTCTAAGTGCTTTCAAATTGTAAAAATATATACTTCAGAACTAGGGCTATGCCTCCACATTAAAAACTATGTCTCTGAATCCAATCACAGGTCTGATCAATAAGCCTTTTTCTTTTTGGTAAATCTTATTTTCATGCAAAAACTTATGTTGGAGAGGACTGCATACAATGGCACACTGATTATCATATTAAAACTTGACTGCTAAAAGTAAAGCAACAGTCCAAAGAAATCACTCATTACTGTCAGTGACAGCAGGAATTAACTCTCTGACAGTATTTATGAAAAACCAGCTAAAGATGTGCCTGAAATGGTAACGTGGATCTCAAATAATCCAATGCCAGTTTTCTAAACAGATTGTGAAAACTTTCCAACTCCCTTCCAATAACGTAGTCAGCTGTATTCACCAAATATAAAAAGTAAATAAAACCCCCTAATGATACTGTACTCATCCATCATAAAGCCCAACTGTGACTAGTGGAAGGTTATAATATCTGTTTAAAATATTCCCCAGTGATCTTAAAGGTATAAGGCGAACAGTGAGAGAGGATTTATGACCCTTTCTGAGGATATTTATTAACTTGGTCTTATCTTACTACTCTGAAGCCCACTATAAATAGACACTGTACCTTCCATACTGAGTCATTATGCCTGGTGGGAAGTAGGCTGTGTAGCAGCCCCCAGAATACTGCTCTTCACACCAGTTCTTCTCTTCATAATGCACTGGCTGTAAAACAGAGATTAATTCACTCAAGGAAAAGACAAAGTCCCGAGGAAGCTAATAAAAGAACTGAGGAGACAGCAGAGAAGAATAGCTTATAATTTGTTGCATGTCAATGTCTGACAAGATGAGCACATTTAACAAGTCTCTTAATGCAACATGGATCTGACACAATAAGCCTTAATTTTAGACACTGCTAGCTTTTTTTTTTTTTTTAAACTAGCTAATCTGGCCAATGTAGAACATAATCCTCTTAACCTGTCAATGTAAAGTTATGCTTTGAGCACAAATTTATGCTTTGAGCCATGTAAAGCAAAATTAACCTCTGGTGTACGCAGTTATAATATTTGCAATGTGTACATTGGATACAAATACATACTGTTAAAAATGCAAAGTATGGCACTTGTATGGTTCTGCGTACAATATCAGTTTGTTTAAAATGATGTCATCTTGAGATTGGTGTCTACAACATTTAACTTGCGTAAAATTGCCTTTAAAGAATAAACGGCATTGATCACAAACTAAGTGTGAGATCACACAAATCTTACGAGTTGTTGACCACCACAGGGAAGAGAAGGCAAGGGAAAGGCAAAAAAAAAAAGCCAACACACATTCAGCAATGGATCTTAGCAATTAGGAAGAGCTAAGAAACATTATGCTCAGCATAGACTAAGAGGGAAAGGCAAACCCGTTGCATCTGAAAACAGTTGAGATGTATGGTGGTGAGCACTGTGAATGCCACCCACGAAGCTGGACAAGAACGTATCTACCTTTTAACTGCATCATAAAGTCATTCTTATCCTCGTTGTCAGATGCAACCCAAGACTTGTCATAACCTTCTCTCCGCTCCTCTACAGAGGGCAGCAAGTGCTCTGGTAGCAGGTACCTTTTCCACAATGCTATGCAGCGCTGTGCCGGAGCCCTGCTGCACGCCAGTTTCATTCTGCCTGTCCCCAGACATGTTGACTCCCTCAACAAGTCTGACAAGAGACACCACGGTTTAGATTGTGTGCTTACGTGTAAAGCTTCCTCTGATCCCAGAACCTTTGCATAGAGCTCACACAGCCTCGTCTTCCTGCAAGAGAAAAGCAACAGAAGGCTTCTGTGTAAGGCAAGAGAAAGCAAACCACCTCTAATATGTCCTAGCTTCAAGAGAAAAGGCATTAATATCTGCTTGAACTTGAAGTCACAGCTTTTTGGGATTTACCCTAGCTGTTCAGCCTCTGCATCACTAGAAATAACTCACTCAAACTCCTGTGCTGCATAAGTGCCGGTTTTACCAGCAGTTATGCAAGCTGTTCCCTTAGGATACCTCTAGCAGCCCAAATCCATACATTATCCAAAAGTTCTCTAGGCTGTCAGGAAGAGAAAGTAGTAAGGTATTGCACTTTTTTGTCTTGGCATATAGTCTAACTTATGGTTTGTTCCCACAAAGATGCAGGTATTGATAGCCTGAGGCTCTCAGGGAATCAGTACTTTATTTCTCTATCTATAAAATCTCCTCCTGTTTTAGTTTATGACTCTATAAATCCATGAATATGCTTCATTCTGTAGCAAACCCCAAGTGCAATTTAGTTTGTTCCTACAAGCTTTTGGGTCTCATTCTTTACTGCTCGCCGCACTGCACCAATTCCCAAACACAAGAAGATCAAGATGAAATAACAGTCAACAATTATGAAAAACAAACACACAAACACAAGGCAGGAAAGACATTTACTTCTGGAAGCAAATCTTGTCCTCCACATCCATGCTGGGCACAGAAACACAGCAGTCCCAGCTCTGTGACTGTATGGGCTACTCTTGCAGCTACATAAGCCTGTGAGGAAACTGTATCTATACTGTTGTATGAAGCAACCCAGCTCTACAGGAGTCCAGCCATACCCAGGAGCAGCTGAACTCAAAGAATGCTATAGAAAGGGGATGAGGAGAGAAAAAAACGAACAGGAAGACCTTGAAGAAGGTGTCCTCTTGTGCCAGCTGGGGCTTGGAGAAGGAAAAGTGAGGGCTGCTGCAGGTCAGGAAGAGTGGTGGCCCTGGGGTGATTTTGCTGCTGGCAGGTGTCAAGCCCACAGCAGCAGAGGGGAAGGAAGCAACCCCTTCCTTCTGCTCCCAGGCAAAGGACAAGAGTCAGCCTGCTCCAGAAGCAGAAATGCATGGTGACACAGTGGCTGGCGAGGAGGTCTCCAAAAGCTGCAGGATCATTATATGAACATCCCTCTGAAGTCAGGGGGTGACATGAATCCCACAACAGCCGTAACGAAAGGGATCACTTCCTCCATCTCTCTCTGTGTCTCTCCTTAAGCAAGGTAACCACCGTGCCCTGTAGACCACCAGCATCCACCCAGTCTCTGAACAGAATAAAGCCATTTTAACAGCATGATGCAGCAAAGCCTCTGCTGGAGTCTGCCCACCACTTCTCACAAATTCCCACCAGCTCCTGCTTTGGGGGCAGGTCTGTAACACCACGGGGCTCCACAGGAAAGTGAGTTATCACCTTGGGACCCATCTGCTTCTGCTCCTGCTCCTCCCAGCACCAAGACTGAGATGAGAAGGACACCTCTAGATCTGCCTGTGCCTTTCCTTTTTTTCCACACGTGACTTGCAGACCCTCCAGAGAGCCTGGAAATGGCATACCAGGGGCTGGCAGGGATTCTTATGTACAGCCAACTGCAGGGCTCCAAGAAGGTGCAAGTTCACTGCTGTTTGCTAACTACATTGCAAACACAGATAAAATTAGTTTAAGATAGCCATGCAAAACAAACTATTAAGCTTCAGGTCAAGAGTATCTTCAGATACTTAGGAAATTTTGACCTTGGAAAGAATCATTCACCAATAATAAGGTATTATTTGACAGAAAAAAAAAAAAAAAACCACATAGAAAAGCAGTTTCCAAAGGACTGAATTGTACCAACAGTAATCCATCACTGAGGACATTTCTCTGCAACATCTGCACTTTTTGTCCTAGAACACTTTAAATAAATACTTATTTATGGATTTATGGTTAATGCTATCATGGAGCATGTGGAATGTGCAGTAAATAAAATCCTTATTCCTTGGCTTTGGACTCAGCTGTGAAATTGCCACCAGCAGTAAATAACAGGAATGTTATGCCTGGAGCTACACAGGTAGTGTCCTGTTGAGAATTACACTGAGCCTGGTGTGGAAGAAGTGCATGTGCAGACACACAGCTCTTCTCCCTGGTCTCTTATTCCACGGCAGTGTGTGATGCCATCACCTTCGTTGCACAGCAGTGAAAGGGAGGGTACAATCTAACCACTGTAATTACTCATTGGCACCTGGCCTGGGAAGACCAGCTGGAAGGCAGCAGTGAGTTTTACTCTCCACAGCTTGGTTTAGGCTGTAAAATGGTTTCTAACTCCTCCCACAACTGCTGTTCCCAGCCATGCCTTAGGACAGCTGCCACAGACTCTACATCCTACTCTTCATATCCAAGGATTACCAAAAAACCTCACCCTGTCATCAATATGACAAATGGAGAGCCCAGCTTGTGTTGATAGGCGAGCACAGCACCTCAGCAAGATGCATCCTCTGTAGGGTGCCACAAGAAGCCTGTCCTCAGAAGAGACAGACACCATGGACACCATAGCCCTATCCAAACATCACAAACTGGTTGCACCCTGACTGTACACTGCGAGAAGTTACAGGACCCCAATTTCCACTGCGAGAGATTTGTGCTTATGTGCAGGAGGGGAGCTGCAGTGTATCCCAGCAGGTTCCTGCTTTGGCCAGCTGTGGCCAGGACCACAGAAGCCAGAGAGGTACCCCTGCACTAGGGTACATCTATCAGGTACCAACCCAAGCATATTTCACAACCATTCTTTACCAAAGCAAAGTCCTTCCTAGTCTGAGGTTTATTTCTCCTAAGACAAGAGTTCAAAATCCTTCTGTTTAAATCTTGACCATAGGCAGCAGCAGAATCAGATAATTCTGCTCATGCTTTTAACTCCCAGGGGAAAGCAACCTTGTTTCTCCTAAGAGTTCAAAATCCTTTTGTTTAAATCTTGGCCATAGGCAGCAGCAGAACCAGATAATTCTGCTAATGCTTTTAACTCCCAGGGGAAAGCAACCTTGCCTTCATGGTGCCTTGCAAACAGCCAGGACAGCCCTTCATTTCTAAATACTGCAAATGCTCAGCTGTATCTAGTGTACCAACACACAGCATAAAACACCATTTGGTGTATTACAAAAAGAGAAGCTGTTCTCAAATACTGCAAATGCTCAGCTGTATCCAGTGTACCGACACACAGCATAAAACACCATTTGGTGTATTTATGATGGCTTAAAATGCTGGGCACACTGGATTTCAAAATACTATTGCTACTTTTATTATCAATCACCTGGTGGGGGGGGTCTATCTCAAAGACCTGAGTGCTGGGGAACGACGCTACTTTTATTATTAATCACCTGGTGGGGGGGTCTATCTCAAAGACCTGAGTGCTGGGGAAAAGGCTGCCTTGTCCATTCCTGCCAAAATTAAAAGAGTTCTGTGGTACCAGGCTGTCATTTGGAAAGACTGGCACATTAACAGCCCCATTTAGACCCAAAAGCTAATCTGAGATGACTACATCTTCTCTAGTCAGACTAGCTATTACTGTAAAAATGTTTACTTGGACACAGTATTCCTTGTGGCATGCTTGAAAAACAAATGTTATTTTCTCCATGTCAAAATAAGGCTCTCCTCATATCCACACTCTCTACTTGTATCTTTAACTTGATCAGATACTATGAATCAGTGTAATGGAAAAAAAAAATTACTTTCTAAATTCTATTATAGTTATAAACGAAAAAGAACTACTATATGCAGAGATTTGTTTCAAGAAGACAGTAAGAAAGACCATAACCTGTGCCTGAAGGGATTTTTTTCCCCATAACTGAGGGTGGGGAGCTGGAGGCAGCTTTTTGACCCCTTCACGATGCTGAGGCATTGTTCACAGCAGCCACAGCAGCCTCAAGGTTGCACTAAGTTACAGACACTGAAAGGACCCTCCAGGGTGATTAGAAAAAAATCAAGGATAGTAGCCAAACCTGTCCCTTCTGACAAGCTTTCAAGAGCTCAGTACACTTGCAGGAAGCCAGAGGTGTAGCAGTACAGGGGGACGAGGCTGGCCCCGGACCCTTTCCAGTGAGGGCAGGAGAATATCTACACTATGTTCATATTCAGCATCTCAAATTAATTCTTTTGTTAGAGTCAGCCCTGCTGGAAAATAAGAACCAGGCCCAGAGAGTTTCCAAAGGGCAGGGACTAGCTACCACATGTGCTGCCAGTTCGTAGGAACTCTATAGGGTGTCACAAAGTTATAGACAACTTCCTTCAAATTGAGGGCATTGTTTTCCTTCTGTGGTCATTCATAAAAAAAAAAACAAACATTGACTCAGATTCCACACAGGTCTCCAATGTTTGTACTTACCTTTCTTCTTTTGTGAGGCCTGTCAGTCTTCTACACTTCCGAGCAAGAATGAAACTGTAGAAAGACCACAAACAATTTACTTCCATTATGTTATTACATTTCCTGCATTATTCAGAATGCCAATGCTTTATGATGGGATGGTGTGATTCATAGTAATAGCTTTTGAGTCTCTATCCAAAATACCCATTTCACCTCTCTGCATAGTGTTATATGCTCTGCCTGCCACTTGCAGGATTCACTGTGGAAGGAACCACTCTGAGATTCAGGTTAAAATATTTGTATTAGCTGTTTCCCAATGACCTTAACTTTATACAGCAGTAAATGCAGGCACCTAGCAACAAGAAGTAAAGCTTGGGATCGAACTGGAAATCATTGTTTATTAAACTTTCTAATACTGATCATACTCTCTGACTGCTGGCTGCTTAACAGAAATAGAACAAAACAAAACATAATTCTAGAAAACAAAGTTTCACTTAAAGAATTGGAAGGTTTGGGGGAGGCAGTATATTTGGAGATATCTTTACATTTCTGCAATCACCCCCTTTTTTCCTTCTCCTTCCTTTCCTCTTCTCCAATTTTGCATTTTGCCACACAAAAAGGCAAAAGATGACAGTGAGAAAAAAAAAGAAATACAGAATTTCTTTTTTTAAAAATTAGCAGTTAAATCATAGAGACTTTTTTTGAAATTAAAAAAACATAGAACATATTTACGACACACCTAGAAACTCAACCCTTGAACTGTTTTTAAGTATTTCCCTTCATGAGTAACAGGTTTGTTGCCAAGTCAAAACAAAAAGGCATTAACTAGACACTTTCTTTGTCTCTTACCCTATTATGGCAGGAAAGCTGCCATCAGGCTTAGTATCATCAAGTGTTAAACCAATTGCAGCATCTTCATCTTCAATGATCATGGTACCGCAATACCCTGTTAAGCACAAGGTGGAAAAGAAATTAGGATCCATCTATCCAAATGTAGGAATGAGCTTCCAAGAAGATGTGAAATACTCAGAACTTGACTGGAAGAAGTCCTAAACAACCTGATCTAAATTCACCCTGCTTTGAGCAAGGCATGGGACTAGATGACATTCGGAGGTCCCTCCCAATATCTATCATGCTCTGATTCTATGATTCTAATACAGGGAGACATGAAAACAAAGGAAAGGAGAACAACAAAAAAAAACCCCTAGTAAAGTGACCCCCATTAAGTGACAAAGATTAGCACACAGCTCCCATCATGATCTGCAAGGCAGCATAGTGTTGCCTTGAGTCAGAAGTGCTAAGTTCCTCTCTAGAAGAGAAGTTTATATCTGAGATGTGCTGGCAATTAACAATACTTTTCAAGCATATTTAAAACAGGAAGTCAATAAAGGTATTTTTCTATTATGAATTCAACACTATTAATTAATAATTAATTAATAATTAATTATTCTGCAACCTGGTCAGAAAGGTAATTATTAATTGCACAGAAACAGATTTCTCTCAGATACTGAAGATGTTCAAGTGCCTCTGCCCCAGTTTCTTCCATATATGACATTTATGTCAGACATAGGAGATATTCCTACATTGTTTTGAAAATACAATTGTTCTTAAAAGATTGGTTTGAAAAAAAAGCAGTTGTTCTTAGAAGACAAAGGTGTTAGCAAAGCACACTACGTAAACTATGGATTCTATCAGGAAATGGGAGTCACCTCTTGCCAATCCATCCCAAACCTAATAGCCAGAAGATGCCAGGATCCAGAACTCTTAAAATCATTCACAAAGATGGTGGATGACATTTGTACACGAACACAGAGGTGGACTCATTATAACCAATGATGAGAAACAGGTGCTATTACATTTCAGTTTGTCTTAGATTCAGTAATTTCTAAAAGAGAGCTGAGGAATCATGATGAAGTATTCAGCATGTAAAGGGAGTTCAGGATGACTAGCCCAGCTAGGGATGTCTATGTGAGGACACCATCAATTAATCCCACCCAGTGCATACAGAAGGCAGAATTTTTGCAGGCTGCTAATTGATGGGATAAAACCTCCTTCCATCAGATACCACTTGTTCCTTTACATTACTGTACAAGTGGGAGAGACTCATCTCATACTGAGGTGAAACTGAAGGAGAAGGAAAGGACAACAAGGAACAACCAAGGCAATAAACAACATGCATGAGTTCTCCTTTCTTGCCTACCTCCTTTTTTTTCCCCCTTTCCACCCTTTCATCCCAATGGATCTCTCAAGTATCTCAAACAGGGGAAAGTAAAAATGGCATAGAAGTGTATGAGTCTCCTTCTAGGATCCAGCATCCTCTAAACACACCGTTACCATGTACCCTCTTCCCTCCCTCTGTCAGTACTATTCTTTTCAATTAGAATGTAATACCCTTCTTCCTCCAGAAAGTTTCCTTATAGTACACAATGCACTTGATGACTGAGCCCATGGGGATTCGGTTGATGAGCTGGTTCCTCATTGGGGGCAACGGTGGGTTGAAATGAATCTTCAGACCAAGAGCTGGGGGAATGGCACAGATCACATATTTGCCCTGGAAAAGAAATTATAGATAAACCAAATACATTCTCCACTACTTCATCCTAAGTGCACTGCTCTAATGATCTTGGCAGACATCTGGGGAGGCTGCAGGGTGTATCTTCTGAAGCAATTTTGGCATTTAGCGTAAGAATTGCAAAACTGAACCCTTGCAAAATCCTGCTTGTTAAACAACAAACAAGCATTATATAAACAGCCATCTGTTTGAATGATGGGCAGCTGCTCTTTCTCCAGCGCTTAAAAAGAAGTGCTGTGTTACAAGAGTCCATTGGTCTCTCTTCCAACTGGACTCCTCTGTTACAACTTGGAAGCAAAGCCTGCAATGCTTTTCACAGTTTATTACTCAGTTACATTTGTGTGTTCACCTTACAATTATCCTTTAACTTGGAAGGTAATTAAACACAAAGAAGAGCTGCTAGCAAAGGAAGAGTTTGAATATACACTTTGCTTTTCAGGCATCACTTTTAAGCTCTATAATTGCTATCACTTCGGGACAATCAGAAAGAGTGACTTTCTGTCATAGTCACTTCAATCTCTGCTACGTTTTTGTATAGGATTTTGGAGAAGTCAAAAAGGAAAAAGTAAAGGTTTTCCAGCCATCCCGGCACAAATCATTGCTTACATGTTAGAGGTTATACTACCTCATATAATTCATGATCTAAGGTTTCCACTATGACACGTTCACTCGACTGGTCGATGCGGACGACCGGTTTCCTCAGCTTCACCCGGCCTCCCAGGCGCTCCATTATCTTCTCACTGATCTGGCCAGAACCCCCAACAAACTTCCTCTCCTGAAACACAGAAACAACAACTCAGCAAATAGGACTCAGCAGAGCTGTGCATGTGAAGTATCACGGCAAACATTTCACTTTGCATTCAAAACAAATCCCATTCTTCTGTTGCTATCAAAACATTTTTGGGAAGTTTGGCAGTCTCACCCAGAAACATATTCATGTTACTTACTCTTTCAGTGAACTCCTCAAATACTTCCCATATTTGACCACCAGCCAAAACTAGAAGTTATCAGTAGTTTTTAAACCTTTCTTTGAGTTCATTCTTATCTCTGTATATTAGAAGCAGGAACCCTGATACTCATAATAAATAACAAGGTATAAGAAGTGATGTAGCTCACACCAAAAACGTCTTCTGCAGCATATAATCTAACCTAACTTAAACTCAAATCACCTCTAACACAATACAGAATTCAACTATTTTATTCAACACATTGACAGTTTAATTATCTATAATTATTGCTTACCTATGCATATTTATGCATTTAAGCATTTATGGTTTAATAGATTTATATTTTTGTTATTTATTTATCATTAAATAATTTGCATTTCTAAAAATATAATTATGTCTAATACCATCAGTAAAAGTTGCACTTCTCAAGTAGAAGACCATTAATGGAGTCTTTACTTTCTTGAAATGCAGAAGCAGCACTAATGTACCAGATTTCAAGTATTTCAGAACAATAGCATGTTTAAGCAGGGGTGTTCATTTTCTTCAGACTGATGTTAAAACCTTAATAGTTTTAGTCCTTGGAAGCTTGTGCCTTTAGGAATCCAGCTCTGGGCAACGTTTTCAGTATTAATTTGGAGCACCCCACACACTCGTGCAGGTAGCGTTGCCATCTCCATTAAGTGCTTCTGAAGTGGTAAGGTTTGCTGCAGCCTCACGACAGAAATAAGCATAAGTGGAACTTCTTTTTTTGGCACAAATAAGCAAAGTACATATTCTAACCAGAGCCAGGAACAGACACAAATCTACAGATTCCTGGGCCAATGGCTTCAGCACAGGAACAGCCTTCAACACTAGTTTTACAAGACACAGGTTAACTTGTAAAGGAATAGAAATAGTTATCAATGTGATATTGGCTTAAAATCAAGGACGTCTCTGTCGGCTCTCTGACCTAAAATAAACAAGCAAAAGAATGAAGTTAAAACAGGGCCCGTTATAAGCCACAGAAGGTGATGGCTGACTGTACCTGCCCTCCGTTCAAAATAAGGACATCGCTGTCGGCTCTCTGACCTAAAATAAACAAGCAAAAGAATGAAGTTAAAACAGGGCCTGTTATAAGCCACAGAAGGTGATGGCTGACTGTACCTGCCCTCCGTTACTTGTTGAGAATATCCTTGTTGTCCCTCCACACTGCTTCACGTACCACAAAAACCAAAGGGCAGAGACCTCGTGGGGTTCAGAAGTGACGTCAACATTCACAAACAGAGTTGCAAAACTCTTGGCAGCTCTGTATCAAAGACAAGAAGTTGAGTTAATTTAAGAACGGAAGAAGGGTGACAAGATTGTTCTTTAGGAGGGGCAACGTCTTCTTCACTGCAGATAAAGGATTCCCTAATTTCAGTTGAAGTAAGAAACTACCAATTCCTTTTATGTGACATTTTTCAAGTAACCCTGCAAAAACATGTTAATCAAACACCTCTGGATTCTAGCCCAATCAAGGCTTCAGGAGACACAAGAGCCCACGAAAGGTTATGTCACTTGATGCTACTAATGCAAGGTCAGCTTGTCATCCTAGTCTCAGGAATAAGGGAAGCAAGCCCTCCTGTCTTCCCTGGACTCCAAAACCACCATGTTCTCCCACAGTTCCTGGGTTACATGCAAGATCTGCAGCTCTGTTTGCACCTACTGATGCCTGTCCCTCAAGCACACAGCACAGACTATTCAACAGTTGTCATAACAAAAATTAAGGATCTTGTCTAAGCTAATTATTTCAGATCTCTGGACTAGCCAGAATCCCCTCACTGTCTGCTCTTCTGCTGTGCTCAGGCAGGGTGCTGCAGCTGGAACACAACAAGGAAAGAAATGTAAGTAGGAAGCCATAAATGAAGAGAGAACATACACACATTCATGTAAAAGTCTAGCAAGAAAAGGGAAAGGATACTTTTGGTTGCTCAACTCAGTATTTTAAACAGTGATCTGGTAGACAGGGGTGATGAACACAGAAGTGGAAAAGAGGCCAGTGTCTGAAAAAGGATCAATGCTTTATGTCCTCCAGTTGGTGCTTTCACAACACCTCTACTGAAAATTACTGTATAAACCTATGCAAGATTTATGGGGTGCACTAAGACAGAATTAAGGCTCAGGGAAATATTCCTACTGATAGAAGTAAATACTTCCTCTGCCCTCACTCTGAGGAGGATGTCAGAGATGTGCACAGGATCAGGAAATGTTTAGCTTAACTGCATTGTGATTGACAGGGACTGAGATTCGATAGGTATTTCATATGCCAGGCATCAGGCAATTGATAACTTCCAAAGCCAGTACAGAATCCTCTTTTAGTTGTTTCTTTCTTTTTTTCAGTCTTTAAACTCTCAAAATAAGACGATAACTTCCAAAGCCGGTACAGAATCCACTTTTAGTTGTTTCTTTCTTTTTTCAGTCTTTAAACTCTCAAAATAAGAAAAAAAAAAAAGTAAAAAGCATAACTCAAACATACTACTACTAACAGTTGTAGATCTACATAGAAGAAAGGCATCTTCTGCTCTTTCTAATACGCAGAGTCCCACTGAGGCAAAAAGCTGATGCATTTTCTGAAATATGGGTGCATTCTGGTTTCATTCTTGACAGCCAAAAATAATAAAGCATTTATCCATTTTTGTCTGTATAATCTCCAAAAATAATAAAGAAAGCATTTATCCATTTTTGTCTGTATAATCTATACGGTAAAGTATGATCAACTCGGAAACATATTTTGTCTAATGGGAGAATTAGTATATGTCTTTATTAATATTTAATAAGCAGAAGCTATTATACGGTGGTTAAATTCTCCTAGTTTCTGCTGCCTACTCCCATTGCTTTTCAGCATTTCAGCTCCCCAGTTTCTCCTAGTGTTTTACCTAGAAAGGGCAGTATGATTTCAATCAAGAGCACTCGGGGTATTTCCAGCATGCAACTCTAGCCAAAAGCGACTCTGTACAGTCTGTTAGAGGAGATGAAATAGTAGAAGATTACCCTTCCGGATCATTACCTTCCAGGGTGGGAAGTTTCTACAGCATGCTACCTAAATCTTGAACAAACTAGGCAAATCAATCAGAGATGCACATATAAAATCTGAAAAGCATCTTGGAATTAAGGGAGGCTGGCAGTTATGCCAATATTCAGGTAAAATGTCAAGTCTTATTCCATCAGAGTTTGAAAAAATATGACTGCAGTCACCTGAGCTATCGGATATTGAATGACTACCGGTGCATGGCATTTTGCTTACTTGTATAGTTCTTTACCAAATCAGAGGGTCAAATGGCCAGCAGAACAGCCACTATACATTTCTACTTGGTTTTGCTAAATATAAACGGTGATACAAACGAGAAAGGCTTTGGATATGCTTTTGAGCAATTGTCACTCTCGTTAAAACAAAACAGACAGAAGATTGAAAGTTTTTGGATAAGAGCCTACTGTCCATTAACAATGATCAAGTTGCTCTCCAGAGGCTGGTTGAAACCGTAAAAATGCCCCTGTTCAACAGCAGTGTCAGCTTGAGTGGGTGTTAGCAGGTTTCTTCACCGTGCTCGTGCAGGCTCACTGCAGCCACGTGTTGGGTGCTTAGCAATTCTGAAGAGGTTGCTGTAGAAATCAATCTGCTTTACAGCAAGGCAGAATTAATTTATTTTTTTTTTTGGCTTCAGCGCGAAGAAAATCAATCAAACTGTTGCTGAATGGCAAGTAAAGAAAAATTGCTTTGATGTATACATAAAAACAGAAAACATTTTCAGTTTCCCTGGGTGGTATATAGTGCAGCAGTTAAACAATAGAATGATGGGTGTTAAAGTGATTTAGTGCTATTTCAAGACAAATGTTATTTTTATAGCACTTGGGTAAAATCAGCTGAATAAATGTGTGTTGTTTCATCAAAAGTTTGATTCAAAAACCTGCTGTAGCCAAAGCATTTTTCTCTTAAAACTTAAACACAGTAAAGACAGGGCAAGTGCATATAACAGATGGAGGTACTACCTATGCCTTCAGAAGTGACCCTTCCCAAATACATTTTCCTTTTATCTTTATTTTAGTCTAAAAAGTTATGGATATATAACAGAATGTACTGTGTGTGCTGATAGCTGTGTTGGTCCATTATTACAAGATTTTCTCACCATTTTTCTTTAAAAGGCTGTATTCTAGTGGTAATTTTATCTGTCTGCAAAGCAGTAACGCCTATTTAGAGCTCTAAGGTATATAAATATAAGCTATTATATTTTGTACTAAGAAGTTTCTTACTTTGTCCAGCATATTTTATCTATAAAATCTTGCATAGTCATTTTGTCCCATTCTTCTGCATGCGGAGCCTTCCATGGGGCTTCACTGGGAATCTAAGGAGGGGTAGAAGAGCATTCATCAGCAAATGAATGAGTGGCATACGAAAGAGACAACAAACACAATCTCATCTTTACATGGTAATTCAGCCTGTAAATTCCTGGCAGGTAATACAGTGAATTTAAGAGAGAATGCTTTTAAGTTTTTTGTCTGTTTGTTTTAAAAGATTGGTTTTTTAGATTTAAGAACAGAGAATAATTTTAGAGTTAAGAGCTCTGCCTAGAAATGCAAAGTACAATGCTGAGGAATGTCTTTGAGTTATTCTACATCTCTCCCATTCATCTATACAAGCAACAGCAACCTCTTCTCAAAGTCTTGCAGCTCAATCAATGGAAAACATACACTACTGGTAACAAACTAAAATGGTTGAGCTGAATTTGAGGGTGGAGAAGGCTGTTTGTGGTCTACAAGTCTCCTAAAATATTACTTACCCAATCGTCAGACAAAGTGCTAAAAATCACATGCATAAATCCTAAAGGTCATAAACACAGAAAAACAAAGGTATGACTGCAAACAGCCTCAGCAGCATGGCCTTTGGGATGCCACTTATAACATGTGCTCTGACCATCAGTGCGTACCAAAATGCACAGCACTATGCTGCTCTTGCCAGCACCAAGTTTCTTCAAGCTAGAGCAGCTTGGCACATCTGCATCCTAGTCCTGTCTTCACTCCACCCCTCATGGAAACAAAGCTGAGCTGAGACATTCAACTGTAATTCCTCATGCCATACCTCTTTTCCCATTTCATCCATGGTCCTCCATAGGTTGTTGTAATCCAGGTAGGCCAATGGATTCCACATAGGAGGGAATGGACCTTTAAAGGGGTAAGACTTACCCTACAAGATGAAAAGCAAACAAAAACATCATAAAAACAAAATACATAATCATGGCTTCTACGTGCAGGAAGCTGCACCATACGGTTAAGTGTTCACTGGAATAAAGCACAAATTTAATACGCTGCAGTAGAGTGATTTAGACCAGACTAAAAAACTGAGATGGAACAGCATTGCTCAAGTGAGCTGAAAAACTGGCTATTTGTTCCTGAGACATGAAACATACATTTTTTTCTTCTAAATGCTCATGCAAAGACTGAACTGTCAATTGTATTTAGTAGGTTGGATTTTTTTCTTTCAAAATCAGACAAAACCAGCTGTGATGAGCTTTATTATACACTAAAATCAGAGCTTAGATATCTTCCTTGGAAAAAAAAAAACCAACACTTTCAGCTAACTCTGCAGAAGCTCTACAGAAAATGTTACATTTACTAATAATGACTCATTCTTCCAATCCAACACCTCTGGCCATAAATTCCAGAGAATGATAGTGTGGCCAATAAGAATGTCCTAATTACATCATTATCTATTTAACAGTTAGATTTTATAGAGATATATATATATATCTATCTTCACTACTAGACACTCAGAAAGGTTAGCTGAACTAAGAGTGGAAGAAGACAGGTAATTTGTAGAACTAATTTATTTACATGGGATTTCCCTGGCTGACTATATGGATGGCAGCATAACAGCTTTAAAGATTCACAAAGAAATGCTCATCAGCATTATGTAGTTACTCATTTTTTCACAATGCATTCTGGACTCCATAAAATAGATAAACAATAAAGGCCATATTGTGTGCCACAGCCGATTTTTCAAAATTTATATTAAATTATGTATTTAAGTGGGCAATGCATCAGCATGAATGTCAATTGGTAGAAGTGCTAACTTTTAACAGATATTTGATGCAATGCCACACCAACCCATCACTAAAAAAATATTTACACAGGCTTCAAAAGAAACACTGCATCAAGATTTAATATGTATAACTGGTTAACACCACCACCACTGTGTCTTATTGATGAGAAGTATCCAAAGACCACTTACTTGAAGAAGTGTCAAGCTTGATTTGATTTAGCCTCTTTATTAATAACATGAAAGAAGGAACAGGGACCACATTATTCAAACCTGCAGGTGTTTGCAAGCACCAGAGGAGACAGTAAAAGGGCACAAAGGGACTCTGAAAGACTCAAAACTTGGTCCAGAAATAACATAATGAGCTATAACCTTGAAAAATGCTGGCTAGTAACTTTGAGGACTTCTAATTCAAAATGAGAGATAGTTAGAAACTGTAAAGCAAAAAATCAAACCTAAGGATAAGAGAAAATTAATTTACAAAAAAACCCCAACAGGTTAGAGAAAATGAAGAGGAAACTGTTTTTTCACCCAGTCTTTATACAGATGCAGGACTAATGGAATCCTTACTGGAAACACCAAGGTAATGAATGTTAGGAAGAAAGCAAAGTGTGGGAGGAAAGAAATTAATTCTTCGGTACATGGACATATGAAGAAGTAGCTGCAAAACAACAATTTCATTCTGCAGTGCTTTTGAGGAGATATTATGGCTTATAAAATGCCAAAACATCACATTTTAAAAAGTTTTCAATCAGAAGTTTTTCTCAGCCAGAGTAGATCTCCAGTCACTTCATGAGCCAGTAGTACCAAGGTTGAAAACTTAGCACTTTCGATTTAAGAATAGACATTATAGTACAGGTTCACAAGTATTCCAGAAAATGGAGGATTTGTTTTCGTTTCTTTTTTTTTTTATGTAGCATGGAACAAAACAACATTTCTACAGCTCCCATTCTGAATCATATGAAAATACATTTAATTGGAATCAGGAAAACATATCCCTATAGATGGACATGAACTCATTGAGTTTGTTTCATCAGAAGCATTTGGTCCCAACATGGGCATCTGTTTACTATTATGGAGTCTCTTAACATGAAATTCATTTGAACTGGGGCACACATTTATATTCTGCTGCCAAAGAGCTATGAAAGAGCAGCAAAAGCTCCTCAGACTGGGTACCTTCCTGTCCCAGCTAGTAACATCTGAACTATGTTGGTAATTACTTTTTAGCCTTTTAGGGCAAATTAAAATTCCATAACTAACTCCTATGATAGCCATAATTCAGTTTTACCATGCCTTCTTCTAAACACTGAACCCACCCTTCACCAGTGCAAACATCGTGTGCGTATACCAAAGACAGAGCATATGAGTTGGGTTTTAAGTACCTAGAATTTCCCAGATTTACATTTATGAAACACGTATCCTGCTGTGCTCAAGAAAACCAGAACAGCATCAGAATGGGTTATTCCAATTATTGATTTTTTTCTGAGCTTCCTTCTCTGCCAGAGGCAATCCTAACTGAATTACCCCCTCTGAGTTAACTCAAGTCTTATGAATTCCCTGTGGGGCTTCCTCATGAGCACACAGCTAAGAGACACACAAAATACATCTTTGGTTTAGCATTCTTCTATTTCACTGCATTTGAACTGCTGAAAGGGAAATCTTGGGTATGTCTCTTGTGCGGAAATTTGGGGTGACGAGTCTCATAGAGCACAAGACCAAACTTCAACCTGGAAAAATAGAAATAATCATAAAAGTTAGGGAGTCTCCTGGGAAAGTTACTTTCAAGAGCTCCTTAAGACATTACCTCAGGCCTGATCCTATGTCCTACAAAGAAAAAAACTCCAGGAGCTGTCAATCAGAATTTTTTTTGAGAAGAAATTGCAAGACTGGACTCTACACAGAAACAAAAATAGCAGCACCAAAGAAAGACTACACATAGCTCTGAGTAGTTTCCAACAAACTGAAATGTTTCAGCTCTATTTCTAATGAATTTGCACTTTTGCAAAACCAGCAACCTTATTGATATTTGGGCAAATTTTGCCTACCATATTGTTGGGAATAGCATTCTCCATACCTCCTGATCATTCAATGTATTTCAATAGTAGTACTATAACACTTAGAAGTATTTCTTACCTTTTTTTTTTTTTTTTTAAGGCTTAGTAGTATTTAAGACAGGCATATATATATTTTCAGAACCTGTTTCATGATGCTGCTGCAATGCTTCCAAACCCAGAACACCAGCATCAGCAGTTGGAGGTCTACCTGCTATTGTATGGGTCACTTGCTGCTTACAAAAACCGTTCCTGCGGTGTGGGCTAAAGCACACTGAAGAAGCTGAAACTACAGGGAGGAAATTCGTGCAACCCAGCTGTCTCAGGAGTAAACAAACGGGGACATGAGAAATCCAGTGTTTGTCACAAACATTACAATTCCCAATGGATTTTCTCATCCATCTGTTTCACATCACTTGTGTAATCATAATTCACAATAGAACATGTCAACTAGCTGGACCAAGCTGAGAGAGGTATACAGGCCCACTCAGAAGCCTATAACAGTGTTGAGCTTTGTTGGAATTCCCTTCTTTGAGAAACTATTCAGGAGCTCATACACTCAGCTGGTTACTATACTGACAGATATCCTAAAGGTAAAAAGATATATAGGTTAGAAAATAGAAATGCAGCACAAGAAAATCTGGATACTATTGTAGCTTTGTACCATTAGACGCGCCAAAATATCCTCCTAATATCTTTCAATATCTAATTTGAGATCATCAGCCGTGAATGCCAGTGTTTTGTGAAACTTGGTCAGCAAAAGTAATTCAATTTTAAGTGTAGCATAGCCAGACACATTGGCTTGAAACATGCATCCTAAAAAGGAAATGATCTAATTGGGAACAATTTGTTTCTGCCATATCATAAAAATAAAGTCTATCTTCTCTCTGCCACAACATCAGTCATACAACTGCTGGAATAGTTGTCTTATCTGAAAAAAGGCAGACCAAGATAAACAACACCACGGAAGTGATTTAGAAAGAGAAATTGAAGTTCTGCTCTGAATTTAAAACTGAATATAGCTATTTGTTCAAATCAGCTGCAAAAAGAATTAACTAAGCCTCCTTCTTACTAGAACCAGATTTTTTGGTTTTGGACACTAAAAAACACCTTTAAACACCTAAAAAAACGTTCAGGTGTCTTATGAAGTACAGATTTATAGGGACTGTGGTCCTAATAGTCTTTGAAATGGTGCCGGAATGTGGCTTTCAACACCCGAATTAAAATAAACCTGCCAACCAAGTGGATAAAATCAATAGAAAACCTATCAGTATTTCTAGAATTAGTCTTTAAAAAGCCCTCCTTTCCCTCCCAAAAGAAGATAATTGGGCAAAAATAAATGAAAACAGGAGAAAAGAGGGGTCGCATTTGGGAGACAGCCATCCAAAAAACTCTGTCCACAGGTAACATAAGGAAGCACACAGACTCTCTCACAACTAAAACACTGTCTTTAAAGTAGAAGGCAGTGTCAGACTCACTAGTTTTGTTTCTGAGATATTCTGAGTTATTAGATTTCTTACCTAAAAAAAAATGAAAACTTACATAAAATTTTACAGATGTGTCAAACCCAGTATGCTCAGCCAGCTGTTCCTGTATGAAATACACGTTTCTCTAATTCTGTGTTTCTGTAGACTTCAATCAGCTCCTCAAGGGAAACAAAAATCAGTTCTTACAATCAGGTGCAATTGAAGCTTTTCTCCCAGCAGCCTCAACTAAATAAGCTAGGTGGAAGCACAGCTCCTTTTCCTTATCTCCTAGGGAACAGACCCTGGGGTCTAGGAGGGCTAGGACTGAGGAAGTTTCTTTCCATTCGGATTTAATTAAGAAATGCATACTTGATTTCTAGTTCATTTTTCTTACTACTTTCATCCTCATGCTAATATTAGGTCACAGCTGCCAGTCTTCCAGTCAATCTTCCTGATCAATAAACGTCCCTTGCGAGACCTTGTTTTACAGTCCCCTCTGACAGAGATCACTTTGCAGATTTGCTGTACGTACTCCTGCTTCTTTTAGGCTGCTGTAATAGAAATATTATCCAATTTTTAATTAAAAAGGCCTGATTACAAACTTCCTGCTTGCAATTACTGCCAGGTGACT